GCGCTGCAGCAGTGTGATCCTGAGAGTTTGGAGGCAGCGCGTTTGTGGACCCCTTGCCTTTTGCCCAGACCCCAATTGGCAAGGGGGCGAATCAGAAAAATATTGACCACATAATTTCGATTTGCTGCGTTTGTTATGGGTTGGGCTCGTGGCCACAGCTCAGGAGCATGGCCCTGCTGTGCGGCCAAGAGGCCCGGTATTTTACGTCAGTGGGCACCTCCGACGGAGAGACTCGCAGGATCGAGTCGTTGCTGCTGGCCGGCGAGGTGTCGAAGGCCGCTGCCCCCTTTGGCAGGAAAGGCGGAGACGGAAATTCGCTTGGGCACCGCAGTGGCCGCGTCTGGGGGCATGGAGGTGGAGGCGCGGGGCGCGCAGCAGAGGCCCGCTGTTAAGCAGGAAATCGCTGCGCGCATCTCTCGCTTTCCGCGGCTTGCTGGGGCGGGGGGTCCTTCAGGGTCCAGGTACGAACGCTGGGGAAAGTTGCGGCGACACCTGGACGGTCTCCAGGCAGCCGGCGTGGTCCACACGAGGCTCGTTTCAGAGGCTGTCCGATAGCCTTGAGGAAAACGGGTAGCAGTGTCCGGCCGCTGTCATGCGGCAGCATTCTTCGGCGCATCATCGCTCGAGCGGCCTGCAAGGTGGTGGCCGACGCCCTCCGCGAGCTGGGGTGGCCGCTCCAATATGCGCAAAATCTTTGTGGCATCCGCTGAAGAACGCCCCGCTGCTGCGTTTTGGTCTTTCGATTGCACAAATGCTTTCTATATGATCACGAGGCCAGCCACGTGGACAGCTTTGGCAGGAACGCTTTTGTGCCGTGGCTCGTCAACGCATTCGTTTTGGGATTCTTCCAAAAAGGCTTGGCCAGTTCACTCTGCTCGGGGCGTTGACCAAGGCTGCCTTTTGAGCCCCGGGCTGTTCTGTGCGGCGCTGGCCTTGGCATTGGCGTCGATCGTTCAGCGGCTTCGTTCCCTGGGTCCGCAGGCGCGGGTGTCTGCTTGCCTGAACGATAGTTGCGCGGTTATCGATGCTCGATTCGCCGCGGAGGCCGTCTCCGGAACGATGGGGGTCGCTGCAAGGCTCCTGTTTAGAGCGTCAGCTTGCCAAGTCCAAAGTGTGGGTGCCCGACCCCGCTGCCCCAGTGCCGGCGCATGTCGCTATCCAAATGGTGACCGAGCTCCGATGCCTGGGTCGCGCAATGCGTATCTGGACAGCCGATCTCGACGAAAATGATCAGCATCGCCTCGGGGCTCTACAGGCAGCCGGGTCGAGGTATCTTTGGGGGCGTTGGACAGTTTCTTTGGGAGGACGCAAATCCTTGTTTCCAAAGGGGTGCGCGTTCAGACCGCATGAACGTTGCTGCGTGCCCCAAAAGCTGATGTCAACTTTTGAAACGACTGTGCTAAACGCTACGGCGACAACCGCATTTTGAAAACAGCCCGCCTTCCTAACCGTGAGAACCCATGCGATCTTTTGAGGCGATTGTGCACCGCGCGAAGGCGAAAACCCACATTTTGAAAACCGCCCCCCGTCCATTCGTAAAGTTTTAGCACATTTATAAGACGAGCGCGCGTGGCGCTATGACGAGAGCCACATATTGAAACCGGCCCGCCTCCATCCGTAAAGCTTCGGTATTGATCTTAAGGGTCAACAAGTCGGATGAATTTTCAGGCGAAGCGCCCCGCCCGCCCTGCCGACGAAACCGGGGAGTCGACCAGGAGAAGTGATATGCAAGGAAGAGGAATTGAGGAGAAGGCGGAGGAGGAATTTGAGGAGGAGGAGGAGGAGGGGAGGAGGAGGAGGAGGAGGAGGGAGGAGGAGGACGACGACAATGACGACGCCGACTGATAGCGATGACGGCGGCGGCGGCGGGCGACGACGACGACGACGGACGACGGCGACGACGACGAGGGCGCCGAGCGGCCTCCGAGCGGCGGCCGCCGAGCGGCCTCGCGGCGGCGAGCGGGCGCCGCGAGGCCGCGCGCCGCGGCGTCGGCGGGCGCCGCCCGCGCGGGCGCCAGCGGCCTCGTCGCGCCGCCGAGGCCCTCGGCCCCCGCCGCCGCTGGCGCCGCTGCCGCTCGAAGGGCCCTCGGCGCCCTCGCCGCCGTCCTCCTCGTCCTAGTCGTCGTCCTCGTCGCCGTCGTCGTGGTCGTCGTCGCCCTCGTCGTCGTCCTCGTCGTCCCAAGGTCGGGGGGCCTCGCCGCCCTCCTCGGCCTCGTCGCCTCTCGTCCTCCTCGCTCGGAGGGCCTCGTCGTCCTCGTCGCCCCTCGTCGCTCCACCCCCACCGCTGCCAGCGCCGCCGCCTCGGATCCTGCAGAGCCAGGGGTGCACTGACCTGGGCGTGCGCGCACGATCGTGCAGGATCCCTGAGGATTTACCAGGACCCTACAAGGCTCGAGTGACCCAGGTTTGCCTCGCGAGGGCCTTCACCGTCGACAGCTCGAGTAGGAGATCGATTGCAGAATGGATTTGCTCGCCAATTTGCTTTCTTCGCATCATCGCAGAACACAGGTAAGTGGCCTGTATCTTTACGAACGTCCCACGTACTGTCAATTTTGGGGTACATCGATTTTGTAGCTGATCTCCTACTCGAGCAGCCTCGCGAGGGCCTCCCGTGTCGAGGGCCTCTCGAGGGCCTCGCGGCGGCCACGAAGCAGATGCCTCCGGTGCTCCACGCGAACTTCTCGGATCGGCCCCCGGGCCGTCCTGGCGGCGCCTCTGGAGGCCGCCCCCCTTCCTGGGCGCAGGCCGCGCGTCAGGGGCGGGGGGCCAAGCGTTGAGTCGGGTATGTCCCTCTACAGGAGGAATACACGCTGGTCGTTGAAAGCAGGCATTTTTTGATTCCCAGATCCCAATCTACTTCAAGCGCCTTCCTACTTCGAGAGTCGACATGATTTTGCTGTGTTTTTTATTCTCTGTGGGGGCCTGGACCCAATCAACTTCATCCGCCTTCCTACTTCATGTTTTCACCTACTTCTTCCGACCGACGAGTAGGGGAAAATCGCCAAAGATACCGGGGACGATTCTCCTAGTCTTTTTGGACATTTTTTGACCGTGTCGGATTCCTCTCCCCGGCTCCGCCTGCAGGAGGACATGCCCGACCGAGGCCAAGCGCAGATCCGTGAGGGCCGTGCGGACCTCCGAGCGCGTGCTCGGCGGCGGGCCCGGGGGGGCGGGCGAGGAGGGGCGGGCCTGCTCGGAAGGCTCGGAGGTCCCCCGGGGCCTCCCGAGGAGTCTTTCCGAGGCCTTCCCCGAAGGCGCGGGGCACTGCTCAGGAGGCCACGGCGCTCCTGAGAAGCGGCCCCCCGCCCTCTGAGAGGGCCTGCTCCTGCTCACTTCCCCCCTCGCTCGCCGCCGATGCATGTCTATGCAGTTTTCTCTTACTCTAGTGGGGCTTGACGGCTGTTTGCCAAGCGACTAGCGGGCGTAAGGCCATATAGATCGAGGCAGGCTCAGGTAGGTCGAGGTAGATCGGGATACATTGAGTCCAAAGACCTCCAGGGAAAGCCGGAGCGAACCGTGGACGCTCCAGCGCGAGTCGAGGGACAGCAGAAGTCGTTAAGCCCATATCGACCTAGAGGCCTCTGAGCGCTCTGGAGAGCTTCCAAGGCCTCTAGAGGCTTCGGAGGGCCTTCGGAGGGCCTTCGGAGGGCCTTCTAGGCTTCAGAGGGATCCAGAGGCCTCCAGAGGCCTCAGGAGACGTCTAGAGGCGGTGATCGTCGTCGTCGTCGCCGTCGTCGTCGTCGTCGCCGTCGCCGCCGTCGCCGTGGCCGTGGCCGCGGTCGCCGCCGCCGTGGTCGCCTTCGCCGCCATCGTCTCGAAAGGGTTTTTGTTTTCGGCCCAGGGGGCACGTTCTGGGCCCTGGAGGCCGTCAAAGTCGATCGGGGAGGGGCTCCACTCGTCGGGGGCCAGCTGGGCGCTATCTGGACGCTGGCGCTCAGCTGGACCCCGACGTCCCGGTCGGCCGCGGCGTCGATGGACAGATGATGTGGATGTGTTGCTGCAAAACACGAGCGCGGCACGAGGCTCACGGTTCCCGTCCGCAGCCAACAGCGTTTTCCTTGGCAGCGACTGGATAATTCATTCCTCAGTCACATGTGGTTGCACGCCTGATGTATGATGGAACGTTAATGATATTTTTGTATCAGCCGCTTCTCTTGCGTTCGCGTTTCATTGCCGTAGGGACTCCGCCCGAACTTGACTTGGACGTTGGGAGGGGTTCTGCAACCAATCGGACATAGGTGCCCTCACCCTCATCGTCGTCGTCGTGCTTCTCTCCCACTCCTCTTGGGCACCCTGTAAGTAATATCATCCAGCAGTGCCTCCACTTGTTTTACTGGGCCCCGTATTTTCAGGAGGTGCATGATGGGCATTATGCACTCATGAACGTTGGGTTGGCTTTGCCCTCTACTTGTCCTTGTGGTGCGAGCCTCCCCCAATATCGAGAGAGGGTGGCAAACACTGTTTGAACAGCCTGGGTCTGCATAGTTCACTTCCTTGGGGTAACTAGTCGGCCCCAATCCGCGCAGTCGTGAACAGTGTCTCGGGTGAGACGCGCACACGGGAGTGGCGTGACAGTCCTGAAATTCATTGCCGGTCCATCCGTAGTGGCAGCGTGAAGTCTTTGCCATGCTTGCCTGGCCTCTGCACTATGTTCAGTTTGCTGTGGGTTTGTCCGCCGGTTGGAGTACGGGCGCGTTCCTTTCGGGGAAACGAAAGATTCGAGTGAGCTGGAACTCGGTTGTGCCGACGTTTTTGACGAGCGCGTCCTGGATTTTGACGGTCCCGTTTTCGTGGTATGTTTGCAGCGGAGCTCGCGTCAAATTCTAGATTGGGTCTCGTCATTTTCATGATGACCACATTAGGCCAATCCGAGTCCCCCGTACCCGAGTCTTACATCTCCCCGATCCTTACCGGAGCCCGCATCAAGCCAACCTCCTCTCCCCTCCATTTCCCCGATCCCGCCCTCGAGGAAGTCTCCCGTAGTCGTGATCAACTGCGAGGACGTGGGGCGGCACCGCGGCAGGAACTTCGACTGGGATGCCGTGAGGACGGGGCCGTGTCGGAGGCTTGGAGGTTGACACCAACACCAATGTCGGTGGTGTGCCTCCATCGAGGCAAGATGATCCCGATCTCGGTGATGGTGGTAATCCTTGGGCTGCCTGGGTGGCCGAAAGGTTACCACCAACATTCAAATCCAGGATCATCTTCCTCTGGTGGAGGCAGCCCCATGTGTTGGTGTTGGTGGTGCCCATTTCCAAACCTCCAACCGTGGGAAGTTGTCGCAGCGAGGCGGTCTCCCCTCGGTGGTCCAAAACCGGGGTCCTGAGGGACGGGGACCTACGGATAGGAAGGGACTCGAGGGTGGGTTTACGTTGTTTGAGACCCCTCGTCCTCGGGACCCCATCCCTCAGGACCCCATCTTTGGCCCACCGATTCCCCCCCCCGCCCCTCCTCCTCCTCCTCCTCCTCCTCCTCCTCCTCCTCCTCCTCCGCCTCCTCCTCCTCCTCCTCCTCCTCCTCCTCCTCCCCTCCTCCTCCTCCTCCTCCTCCTCCTCCTCCTCCTCCTCCTCCTCCTCCCCCCTCCCCCCCCCCTCGGCGGGGCGGGGCGCTCGGACATCCCCAGAGGCTCGATCGCATCGGGCCCGAGCTGTTGCTGGCATCTCTTCGGCCCGGAGGCGGTCCTCGGGCCTCGGGTCCAGCAGGAACCGCATCGGGAGCGGAGGCTGCTCCCCCGGAAAGGCTCCGCGAGCTCTGGGGCTCGAGGACCGGAACTAATCGGGGCGTCGGAGGTCTGGGGACGAGGGTCTCGCTCAAATTCCTCCTCCTCCTCCTCCTCCTCCTCCTCTCCCTCCTCTTCCCCTCCTCTTCCTCTCCTCTTCCTCTTGTCCCCCTCCTCCCCCTTCTTCTCTTCCCCTGCTCCTCCCCCTCCTCCTCCCCCTCCTCCCCTCCCCCCCCTCCTCCCTCTCTCCTTTCCCCTCTTTCTTCTGTCCCCGTTCCTCCTCCTACTCCTCCTCCTCCTCCTCCTCCTTTCCTCCTCTTCCTCTCCCCCCTATGGCGGGGAGTGATGGGGAAGGGGATGGGGGGGAGGCGGTGGGAGGATGTGGATGTTGGTGGTTGAGGGGGATGTTGGAGCCAGCTGGGGGTCTGAGGTGGCCCAGCATTGATTCCAGCGACTAGGGAAAGGGCACGAGGCTCGAGGTTCTGGGTTCGAGATGTTTCTTTTCTTTCGGCCTTCGTGGGCCGTTCTCGGGCCCCAGGATTGTCAAAAGCGGATCCAGGGTATCAGAGTGCATCAGATGGGCCCCGGGAGATTTTTGGGACCGATTGCGAAGGCCTTACGGCTGGTGCCGCCGACCCTGAATGGACGACGACGACGACGACGACGACGACGACGACGACGACGACGACGACGACGACGACGACGACGACGACGACGACGACGACGACGACGACGACGACGACGACGACGACGACGACGACGACGAGCGCTCTTGGGGGCCTCTTGGGGGTAGTTTGTGGGCCTCTTGGGAAGCTCTTAGGGGCCGCTTGGAAGCCTCGTGGGGGCCTCTTGGGGCTTCCTGGGGGTCTCTTGGAGGGGGCCTGGGACGTCTTGGAGGCTTCTTGGACGGTCTTGGGGCTATCTTGGGCGTTTTCGGCCGATCTTTGGGCGACTCGGGGCCCTCTTGGGCCGTCTCGGGGGCCATCTTGGGCATTCGGACCTCATTTGGAGTGTTTTCGAGGTTTCTAGGCCGCCCGAGGAAAAACGAATCTGCCCCCCCACCCCCCCCCGGGACCCCCCCGGGACCCCCCCCCCTGGGGAAGGGATCAAAGGGAAGGGGCTTCCCTTCGACTCGATTACGACACTGCTAGATTTTTCTCTCGCTCACGAGCTTGAGAAGGAAGCTGCAGGGAAAGGGGACGACGGAGGCGACGACCGACGGAGACGACTACTCGAACAGCCAAGCCCCTCGCACACGCCGACAGGGTCGGCGGATTTTGGGCAAACTTGCCCTTGCCATACTCCTTCTTGACTGATTTTCTCGGGGACCATCCAGTTCAGATCCCCCAGCCGCCTCCAAGGGCGATGTCGTTCCCCTTTGAGAGAATGCCATCTAATGCGCCCGTGCTACTTCAGTACTTTGCTCCTGTCCGGCTAATGCCCTTTGCCGCCACTGTTTGAACTGGTGAGCTGTGCTAGCGGATGCTGAGTTAGATCACATGTACCGCGGGCAGTGTCCTGATTCATAAAACAATTTGCACCGTGGTCCCTTCCATCTTTTCTGTGATACTTCTGGTGCGACTTCTGGAGCATCATATCACATGGATATCAGTTTGCCGTCCAAACGACAGGTTGCCAGCCGAATGGCTTGAGGCTAAAAACTAAGATGGCAAAGGATGCCGAAAATGTCGGGGCTGGCTCCGGGCCTGGTGTGGCACATTCGCTGAAGTATCAGCTGGCCAGAAAGCAAGCAATGCTGTCCGAGGAATCCCATGCAGTTTTCGCCGGCCAAACAAATGCGATATTCGAACGACGCGCTGTCTGTACCATGTCAGGTGGTTGGAAAGGCTCCCGTCAGCCCTTCTGTGCCTCCTCCTCTTGCGAGAGGCAAGGCTCCAGTGTGTGGACGCACGACTGCTGGGAGTGCGCCCGAACACGTCGTACAAATCAACTTTGAGGAGGCGCGATCCTCTGTGGGATCCGATCCCCGTCCCTCGAGACGTGAGCCGTCTGTTGGAGTGGAGGTCCGAATTGTCCGCGCACGTCGTCTGGAAGTGCCTGCAATTTGCGAAACCCCCGTGCCGCTTCAGGCGGTGCCTCCCGCCGCTGCCTCCCGTCGGCCGTGCGTCTCGCGTCTCGCCCGCGCCGCCCCCGGGCGGCTTTGGGCTGCTGCGCGCTGGGGGGCCCTTGCTCGGCTCAGGCGGGTCGCCCGCTCCGCTGCTCCTGCAGCTGGACGCCCGCGACTGACCGCCCCTCCACGCTGACCCCGCTGCTCCTGCAGCTGGGCGCCCCCGTCCCGCAAGCCCTGTGGCCAGGCGTCCCCGCCACGCCCGGCTGCGATGCGTGCGCCGGCCGGGGGCGGCCTTCCCCTTCCCGCCCCTCGCCGCCCTGCCGCCGCCTGGGCGTCCTTGGCGACGGCTAGCGGCTCCTCGCCGCGCTGCGCCGCTTCAGTAGGTGCCTTGCAGCTCAGCAGCCCCCCGGCTGCATTGCAGCTCTGCTTTGCAGCCTTCGGCGGCCTTGCAGCTGGCGGCCCCGCAGCTCTGCTCTCAGCAGCTCAGCGTGGCAGCACAGCAGCGTTTCGCTGCAGCGGGCTGGTCGCTGGCCCCGCCCTCGTGGTCGCTGGCCTCCCCGCATCCTGCCAGCGCTGTACCGCAGCAGTACCTGGCACCCACGGCCTCCCGACGAGAACCCGGATGCCGCCCGCTTCCGTGGGCTCTTTCGCCCCTCCCTCCTGTACGGGTTCGATTTGGTTTACGCTTTCAGCGCTTGCAGCCTTTGCCTCAGCCCCTGGGTATGGGCACGATGCCGCTCCACGTCCACTGCCAGGTCGCCTCAGCAATGGCCGGCCGCCCCGGCCACTCCTGCCAAACTTCTTCGTGTGGTGAGTGCCCTCTTCTCGCGCCCGCTTTCCGCGGCCGCCTTTCGCCTCTTTGCTTCTCGCGTGCCGCCGGACAGAAATCAGGAGGGACAGAAAAACACACAGACACAACGAATCGTCGATTTCCAAGAAAATATGGGAAAATATGGGAAGTGAAGGGGAAGACGAAAACCCCCAAAACATGGGATAATATGGGGAATATTTTTACTTGTGTGTATTTATTTGTGTGTCCTGGGGCCCCTTTAAGAAAATACGCCATGCCTAGGGCTACTAGAGCGCTCGTGCGGATCGCCTCTGCCGCGCTGCGATGGAAAAATTGCTACCCCTCCTTCCCCGCCGTCACCACTATCCCTCCCTAAGTCCCATCCCCCATCGTCCTGCTCCGTCTCCAGAACCCATTGGGGCTTTGTTTAAACGTCGGGCAACTTCAGCCCCTTCACAGCAACGTCCGAGAAACCTCGACCCCCCTTTTCCCCCAGCGTGGCGGGGGAACGCAAGAACATCTACCAAGAACCTCCCCTATCTCCGACCTTCCTCCCTGTGCTCCTCCTCCCCCCTCCCTCCCACCAACTACATAAGGCGGATCTGGCTTGTCTTTGCTGCGTATTTTTTTGTTGGGTGGGGGGGGGTGGGGGGGAGGGAGATTGCGTGGCGATGCGGCGGGCAACCACGCCCCGTGGCGAGGAGGGCTATCGAGCACTACGAGGAGGCGGGCTACGAGCCTCAGGGCGTGTGCGGGCAGGCCGCGGAGGAGGGGAGGAGGAGCAGGATTCGGACACGGATGGTGGAGGAACAGGAGGCGGACGAGGAGTCGGAGGAGGATCAACAATGAGGATGCAGGACGAGGCGGATCATGATGGTTATGTTGATGGTGGTGATGATGGTGGTGGTGGTGGTTCTGATTATGATGTAGATGCATATTCAGATGCTGATGGTGATGATGCTGATGATGATGCTGATGCTGCTGCTGATGATGATGATGAGGAGGAGGAGGGACAACCGGGAGAGGAGGGACTTGATGAAGATGGTCAGGGAGAGATGGAAGGAGGGCGGGAGGGAGGATGGTTCGAGGAGGAAACAAAACTGTATGAGTGCACGGGAGGGATGGGGAGGAGAGAGGAGGGATGGTGGAGGAAGGATGGGGGAGGAGGGCTGATGGAGGAGGGAGGAGAGATGCTGAGGAGGAAAGGAACATCATGCTGATGATGCTGAAGCTTACGATGCTGATTCCGATGAGTATTATCATGATGATGATGATGCTCATGATGCCGATGATGTTGGTGATGATGGCGAAGGTGATGATGCTGATGATGATGCTGATTATGCCCATGATCATTACCATGACGATGTTGATGATGTTGCTGATGGTGGTGGTGCTGATCATGATGTTGCTGCTGCTGCCGATGATAATCATGCTTAGGATGATGACTATGACGAGGATGATTATGCTGGTGCTGCTGCTGATGATGGCGACGATGACAATGATGATGCCGCTGATGGGGATGCTAATCCTGATTTTGATGATGCTGCTGACGATGATGATGACGATAACGTCGATGAGTGTGCTGCCGATGATCATGATGGTGATGAAGATTATGGTGATGCTGATGGCACTGATGATACTGATGATGATCATGATTATTGTAATGCTGCTGCTGATGATGATGATGATGCTGATGTTGCTGATGATGCTGCTGATGATGATGCTGATAATGATGCTGATGATGATGCTGATGACGATGATGCTAAAGGTGACGCTGATGTTGATGCTGATTCTGATGCTGATGGTGACGCTGATGGTGACGACGACGATGATGCTGATGATGCTGATGATGGTGATGATGAGGAGGTGGAGGAGGAGGAGGAGGTGGATAATGATGCTGATGCTGATGATGATGCTAATGCTGATGCTGATGCTGATGATGATGATACTGATGCTGATGATGCAGTTGACGGTAGTAATGATGCAGATGATGATGCTGCTGATGTTGGCGACGACGACGACGACGACGATGATGATGATGACGCTGACTGATGTTGATGCTGTTGATGATGATGACGATGATGATGATGATGATGATGATGATGATGATGATGATGATGCGGCTGAAGATGATGATGCTGCTGATGCTGATGCTGATGCGGATGCTGCTGCTGCTGCTTCTGCTGCTGCTGCTGCTGATGATGATCATGATGATGATTCAGAGCATGATGATTGCGAAGGCTTGCTGGTTCTAATGATGAGGAAGTGTGGGCAGGAGGCAAACTACATGGAGGAGGACAACCGGGAAGGCGCAAGATGAATGAGGAGCGGCATCAGCCAGGCCACGCTGAGATGCAACCCGCCGCCGTCGACAATCGAGGACTGGGGCGCCAAGGGGGTCTGTTCGCCCCGCCTCCGCGGGGGGCATGTGAGGAAGCACGGGGAGTCCAAGCGCCCTATTGTCACAAGGGGGAAGTGGAAGGAAGAATCGAGGAAGGAGGAGGATGAGGAGGATTATGCATGAGGCATGGCGCATGAGGGATGAGGGATGAGGGATGAGGGGTAATGATGATGCTGATGATGCTGATGATGATGCTGATGATGATGTTGATGATGATGCAGATGATGATTGTGATGTTCATGGTGCTGAACATGATGATGCTGCTGATGATGATGACGATGTTGATGACGCTGATGAT